CAAACATTCCTACAGTTAGGACCACAACCAAAATCTCCTCTCGATTCCTTTCATGAACGAGAGGTCCATTTTCAAATCGAGCGATCAAACCTTCTTACAGTTAGGATCGTCTCAAACCTCTCATTTGGTTAAACCTTTGTATAGTTAGAGCCAAAACCGTAATTCACTCTCGATAAACGAGGAACTCACCTTTAGTTCGGTAATCAAACTTTCCGACAGTTAGGATTATCCGAATCTTTTTGATTCTTAAAGTGAAGATCCCACTCTTAGTTTTATCTTCCCGGATTCTGAAAGTGGAGATCCTACTTTGAGTTTCCGTTGACAACTGGAGATAGAATATAAAATTCTTCTTCTCCAGCTTTGGGAGATAGAGTATAAAATTCTTCCTCTCCCGCATCGGGTTCGTCTTTGCCCCAAGAGAAGACATAATCTTTGAACATTATAACTCCTAAAATGGGTGCTTCACACGCACGGAGAATTTTATCTCGAAGCCTAAGTAGGGATAAGTCAACGCCTAACACGCGTTGCCGGTTTAGTCTTTCACCGATTAAAAAAGACACCAGAATCCAAATCTGAAGAATTTTATCCCGAAACCTAAGTAGGGATAAGTCAGCGCCTAACACGCGTTATCGGTTAGTCCTTGATCGTAAAAAGGACAAAAGCTCATATATTCGACATTGTGGCAGGCCGTTATTAATAACGTCAAAATCCGCGCCTTACACGCGCGGGGAACTTTATCTCGACTCCTAAATAGAGATAAGTCTACGCCTAACACGCGTTGCCGGTTTAGTCTTTCGCCGAGTGAAGAAGACACCAGAATCCGAGTCTGGGAAATTTTATCCTGAAGCCTAAGTAGGGATAAGTCAGCGCCTAACACGCGTTATCGGTTAGTCCTTGACCGTAAAAAAGACAAAAGCTCACATATTTGACATTGTGGTAGGCCGTTATTAATAACGCCAAAATCTGCGCCTTACACGAGCGGAGAACTTTATCTCGACTCATAAATAGAGATAAGTCTACGCTTAACACGCGTTGCCGGTTTAGTCTTTCTCCGAGTGAAGAAGACACCAGGATCCGAGTTTGGAGACTTTTATCTTGAATCCTAAGTAAGGATGAGTCAGCGCCTAACACGCGTTGTCGGGTAGTCTATTCCCGTAAGAAAGACGAAGTCTACGTATTCAATATCGTAGCACTAAGAGAGTTAACTCTCTTAGCATAACGTTACATGCAGAACGAACTTAAACAATCTGCATGCTAGCCTGACTCGAACGGTAGTCGGTAAAGGCACGTCAAAGGCACATCAAATCCGTTGAAGGCTGAGGGTTTGCCAAAAATCCTAAGTCTACGTCTAACACACGTCGCCGGGTAGTCTATTCCCGTGAGAAAGACGAAGTCTACGTATTTAATATCGTAGCACTAAGGGAGTTAACTCTCTTAGCACAACGTTATACGCGGAACGAACTTAAACAATCTGCATGCTAGCCCGACTCAAACGGTAGTTGGTAAAGGCTCATCAAATCCGTTGATGGCTGAGGATTTGCCAAAATTCCTATAAATATGAGTCATTAATGCACCAGCTCTATTAGTTGGTCTCATGACTTGAGGATCTGATAACATTCATACATGCAGATGAATCAGCTTTAACAGTTGGTCCTGCAGCCCCACTTTTGGGACAGCCATGTTCTAATGTCTTAATAGCTTAAACTGTGTAAACTCCAGCAAACGTACGAGTATAAACCGTGTTAACGCTGGTCAGTGTGTTACGACAAAGGTTAACACCGGTCAACACAAAGGTCGACGTCGGTCAACGCGTTGATGATTTCGCCAAAATAAGGCTAAGGAAAGATTCCGGATTAGAGGATGATTCCAGGAAGTTCAATCACATTCATATATGAATTCCCGACGAAGATAATCAGTTCAAAGTCAACTCAATGACAAGAGCTAAGTTCAGAAACTTACGCATCAATTTTAGTTCAAGATTCGACAACGGTCAGACGATAAACGCAGCGTCGGAAGAACTTCATCTATTCGATAAAATACTGAATAGACTGAAGGCTGAAGAAGTCAAGAATTAAAACCAGCTACAGGTCATTTGACACCGACTGAATATGGGGGGCTATCATATCCAAAACATTCGAGACTCCTCTATAAAAAAATAAATCTGAAATACTTTGGAGGGGTACCTGTAGGCGTCTAAAAATGTCTATAGGTTCCCGTATACAGCTCGAGACAAAGAGGAGGTAATAAACGTCATCATCCAAGTCAGTCGAGAAGATTTGTCTGAGTGGCCCGCGTACTCATCGGCCACCGCCAAGCGGTCCGCGTGTTCACGAAACACGCAGAATGAATCGAGGAAGCATATCAATCAGCGAAATAATGAAATACACGTAAACGACGAAACAAGTCGAAGCCCAGAAAACCAAGAAAGCCCTTGGCGGCCGAGTCGCGTCAAAACGACCCGGCCAGGCCAGTGGCTCGGCCATGGGCGCCCGACGGCCGAACCACCATTTGGTGGCCCGGCTATGGCCGAGCCACCAAGTGGCGAATCGACCAGTTTCGATCCAAAACCAGTTTTTTCGATTTTCACGGATTCTTTTGGGATTTGTTTGTTCCTGAGCATCCCAACTGATCTGATACTATGGTTAATCAGTTATTAACTGAAGATAATGAAGAATCCCTCGTTTTGATCCAAAAACCCTTCAACCGGAGCCTATAAATACGAGCTCGGGTATTCATTTCTCGGGATCTAGAGATCAAGAGGGCGAAACGCTGCCGAAGTGGAGAGTGAAGCCACAAATTTACAACGAGGGTTAGCAGATCTTGGCGAATTCCTATGCATAAAGAGTGGAATTCGAGAGATCTGAGACCCATCCCCTATTTCTCTGGATTTAAGCTTAGTCTTAAATCTCAAGAAGAGCCGTGATCTCGCTTGGTCGGGATCATCGCTGCAGCGATTACTTCCTTCGTGAAGTAAGAGCTTTGATCAACTTAATCTATCAACCGGATCTAATCCGTGGTAGTCCACGGATATTAACGTCCCCGGCACAGGCGAAATTCTCACGCAAGCAGCGGGTGATAAACGTCTGTTACGCTGTTTGACAAGAATTGTATTTTTTGTATTTTTATTGTATAAGGAGATCTTATAAAAAGATTGACTTTTCTCGTTTATTTGAGTTTTTGTATTTTTATTGTATAAGGAGATCTTATAAAAAGATTGACTTTTCTCGTTTATTTGAGTTTATTGTAACGACCAAAGTTGTAATAGATTCGATCTTATAAAAAGATTGACTTTTCTCGTTTATTTGAGTTTATTGTAACGACCAAAGTTGTAATAGATTCGATGGCAATGAAAACATTGACTTTTGACCCAAACAATAATACTTTTCCAAAGACTAATATTTTATTTTTTCAGAATAATAATATTTTTTCAAATAATTATATTTTAAAAATTATCTTATAAAAATATTTTTTAAGATATTGCTTTTAGAAAAAGTTTTTTTTAGAAAAATATTTTTTAAAAACTATTTTTTTCTAAAAACAATATATTAAAAATAATATTTTGTGAAAAAAATAATATTTTATGAAAAAATATTTTTCAAAAGACTAATACTTTTATTTTTTAGAATAATAATATTATTTTCTAAATAATTTTATTTTAAAAATTTACTTTTATAAAAAATATCTTATAAAAATATTTTTTAAGATATTGCTTTCAAAACAACCATTTTTAAAAATATTTTTAAATAAGTTTATTTTTAATAATGTTTTTAAAGAAATTATTACAATAATAATTTTTTAAAAGATTTTTTAAACCTTTTTTAAAAAATATTTAGTAATGATTTTGATTTTTAGTGTAAATTTAGGCAAGTTGTAACTAAGTTGCAGCCGTGACTTGGGGCCTTTTTTTTACGTAAGTCATAGTTGTAACTAAGGGTTGTTTTGCAACTGCAACTGTGAGTTGCAATAAGCTTGCAACCGGACAAATTTGACCTAGCTGCATGCAACTGGAGTTGCAACCATTCCATTTGCAAGCTATCGAACGCCCGCTAAAGGTGGCTTAAAATTTTAAGAAGACATAACCCTAAGCCTTCACGCGGTGATTGTAGGTCTTATGATGATTTATAACCCTGTAGGAGACACACATGCTTTAGCTTCATCAAAATTTATGATCCGTATGGCTCCCAAACAAGCCTATAACAACCATCCACAATAAATTATCAAATTTATTTTTGAACATTGCGACGCTTTGCAAAAAAAGTTTGCAGAAGCGACTTTATTTACACCCAAATCTGCCTCAGACGTGTGCAAACAGACTCAATTTACATCTGTAGTTGCAGGTGAATAAATATCTGCAACTGATCCAAAATGTCCCAGTTGCAAACCCTCCAGTTGCAGTGAACCAAACAACACCCTAAGCTTTCATTAAACTTTACTAAAGGAGGCCTAAAATTTTAAGAAGTCATAACCCGAAGCTTTCACTTGGTGATTGTAGATCTTATGATGATTTATAACCCTGTAGGAGACAAACATGCTTTAGCTTCATCAAAATTTATGATCCGTATGGCTCCCAAACAAGCCTATAACAATACATCCACAATAAATTATCACATTTATTTTTGAAACATTGTGAAACTCTTTTCCATGAGACATCGATAAAATTTATAAACAAAGACTATGAAGAATAGTAAATTCATGATAACTAAAAGGGAGATATAAACCTAACTAATGCTACTATCCCCTGATTATAAACCTAACTTTAGGCAGGAGCGAAGGGATGCAATAAACAAATTTTACGTCCCTGGGTGACTGGTTTGGAGTTTAATCTTTCTAGAAGCTCTCTTCAGAGCAACAGTCGAACATAGTACAAAAGGTGAATGTCAACAATCAATGGAGAGCACTTGCATGCAAAAAGGAATGCTAAATATTCTAACTTTCCATTAACTGATACATCTTATATCAAAGAAATAAACTCAAACGATGCTTAAAAACTGGAAACATACCAGTGTTACAGCATCACTGGAGCATCTAAGAAAGGCATGTGGAGCCAAAATCTTCAACTGATCTCTGTATCTCGCTGCATCCTTGATGATGTGTCCCAACATAATTTAAAAACATATCAGCAATGCTATAGTTGAATAGTCTGATTAAAGAACCAAAGCAGAAAAGAATTTTTTTAATCAACAATGATTGGCTCCATCTACAGCACAATTTCAAAACACAATAATGAACCCCATGACCACATATGTATGTTTTAACATGGGAAATCATTCAGGAGTGAAAAAGAAATCAAAGCCAATTTGTAAATTAAATGACAGAGATCACATGAAGACTTACTCTAGATTTGGAGGAAGAAATCCTAGTTTGATTAAGATTAAACACATTCTAGTTTAATCAAGACTGCATTTGTTTTATTCTAGAGAATATAATTTGCTTAGAAATTCTACTTAGTCTAGTTTGCTTAGAATTCAATTTTAGTTGGAATAAATAATTTAGTTCAATGCAAATTTGGAGTTCTTTGGGGCCTATAAGTACACATTACTGTTTTCACCTATGCTTGAAACTTCACAAGCTACCTCTAACACCTTTGAGAAATGAAGAAACCGAAGAACTAGAAAGGAGTCAACTTCTCCTCAATCTCCGTATTTGCACTAGTAGCAGCTTATTCAATACACATTCTATTTTCTTAAGAAAAATTTAAAATAGTAGTAAACCTTTAACAAATCTCCCGTAACACATGGATAATCCATGAATTTCATGCCTCATGAATCATAGCAGAAAGTACGCAAATCTCTATTAATCTTTACTTCACAAGGATATAGTAACACAACATCATTAGATCATCAGACACATCAAACTCCAAGAAACAAACATATGAAAACATGAATGCATACTTCCTAAACTTGAGATACAATTTTTTCTTATAAAGGGTCTCTAAAACTCGAGCCTTATGGAGGAGATGTTCTTTTTCGGTTTGACTATCACAAGGATATCATCAAAATAGACTAGCACAGATTTGTTAAAGAACTCAAAATTTGCGCATCAATTCTCATGGAAGCATTAGGAGTGTTAGACAAACTGAAAGGACAGGATTTAACCACCCCTATAAATCATCTTAAATCTTGAACACAATTTTTCATTCAGTGCCTTTGCAAAGATGACTTGCTCATATTCACTTCAAATGAGCTCTATTCAGCAGAATTTTGGTTTCATTCCATTTTATAGGAATACTAGATCAAGGATTAAGTCCTGAAACCCTAGATTTACTAACCATCTCAATCAACTCTCTCTTATTTTTATCCTTATTAGGAACAACCTCTTACCTCCTATGAATGCACTCATTTCTTATCATATTCCTTAGTAGTGGTAGTAGTTGTTGTTGTTATAAGTTATTGAAACATCTCAACACTGGCATAATGAATAAAAGAGCAAGAAATTTGACGAGAGATAGCTTAGGGAAAAGTTTTCAGCTGCATAAAATGCATAAAATTTGAACAAACTAAAGTTTATAAGAGATACTTCATTTACTTTTTCCTTTTTCCTTTGTTTGTTGAGTATCAATAGAAAGGTTAATTCCTGTAAAGCAAATTGAAAAAGTAGGCCCATTTAGAAGTTTTCCGGAAGAATGCAAGAATACCAAATTTACGCAGAAATTGTTATTTCCTTTTCTCTTTTCAATAACTTGTAGAAAAACTAATCTAAGATGCTCAACAAACTGCAGAAATTTCTTGTTATCTAAGATGCTCTCCTTGTTCGCCACATTTATTAGATGATTTTGTTTATGCAAAGATATGAACATTCTGACTTAGTTATTTATGCACAGCTATATTGATATTAAGCTTGCATAAAAGTAAAAACAGATCTCCACTTCTAACTATGGTCAAATTTCAGAGACATGAACTATGAGAAACTACCTCAAACTTTTCTTCTTCAACTGCTTTCTTCATTAAACCACGAAGGCGTAACACTGGCTCCTCTGCTTCAAATGATTTCAAGGAATCCCTTATTCGAGCAGCCTCTTTGTAGTCCTATAGAAAGACAAAATAGAATTACTGGAAGAGGAACACTTAATTAGACAATATATTAGCAATCAGCAGACAATATATAATTAAAAATGAAACGACAACCTAAGTATAATACTTTGAAATATTATCTTTCTTTTTAAATGAAATCAGCATGAATCAGAATCTAACAATTAACTTCCATATTCTCAAGCCATGCCTTTTTCTTCATTGGGCAAGGTATATGGTCCCTTTTCTCCAATTTTATTTAAACAATGTTGTATCCTTTGTCAAGATTTACACTAGAATATTGAATTTTACCACCTCAAAAATTTATTTTGGTTAATTCTAGTCCCAGACTCCTAGTTGTGTTTTTAATGAACATGATGCTCAGGACAACATTGCACATTGAAACTAATTTAAATGATTCTCCCACTTATCTAACCAATGTTACTTCTAACTTCTTAATTGTGCGGCTACATGGCAAGGAAGCAAGGATACTAACAAGGACAGGAGATGAACGGGTTTGATGGGTATGAGGTGGCAACTTATATATAGATATGACAAGTAGAGTGGGCCTCACCACATGACTATCTCTTGGTAGCTCATTTACTAAATGAGCCACCACCTCAGACCCATTATCTATGTATATATATGTATGTAGGTAGGTATGTACGTACGTATGTATGTATCTATATATACATCATGGTTTTAAATATCGGCCGATAATCCGATATTATCGCCGAGTTATCGGATTTGGGAGTTTTCCGCTAGGATAAGTAGGATTTTTAATCGGTTATCATTTTTTGAAGTTTATCGGCGAGTTATCGGCGATAAAGACACTTATCGGCCGATAAGTAGGCTCTAAATATCGGCTTTATCGGTCGATAAGTAGGATTTGGAGATTTTACTTTTTTTTGAATTTGCTCTTTGAATGTTTACAAATTATGAGATATTTGTTGCTTTTAGAACTTGGTTGATTGGTAATTAGCTAATGTTTGTTTATGGATATTGATAATGGCTCATAACTACTAAATATCAACTTAGTAAGTTAGTTTATAAATCTCATGATTAAACAATAATTATGTAGATGCGTAGATGGTTCTTCATTCTTGATGTTATCTTATTATTTGCTTGTTTATTATTTCATTTTGACTAACATTATATTTTTTTCAAGCTTATGTTTGTTTATTATTTGCTAGTATATTACTCCGATAAATACTACTTATCCCCGATATATCCCCGATTTCCGCTATCCGATAAGGATTTTGACCGTTCGATAAATCCCCGATAACCGATATTTAAAACCTTGATATACATACATATATATGTATATAGATATACATATCTATACATACAAACACACACATACATATCTCTCTATATATGTATGCATATATATGTTTTCATGTATGTATGTATGTATATGCATTTATTTATACATACATATATACATACATATATGTATATAAACATACATACATATCTCTGTATATATGTATATATGTATGTATGTATATATATGTATTTTTTTATGCATCCATACATACATACAAATATGTATGCACATACACACACACGTGTATATATGTGCATATATGTATATATGTGCATGCAATACATATATACATAGGTCAATGATGATTAGGACATGATTTATTCATCTTGAAGTTCTTGAACATCATTCGCTTGTTTGATTTTACAGTATGTCATGTATCATTCTCATTGAACAGCGCAGGGAAATACTTCACCTTTCCATAACTTATTTTTTATATTACTATGAGTCTATGACCGTGTTATCGTCATTCTTAAGGCAGTGATTTTACCAAGGTATCCTTCCTTTTCTCATCTTTGCATTACACTACATTTAGGTCTCAATTGTTCAACCAATCCTGTGCTCATTCATAGGCTTCTTTCTAATTTACTAGAGACGACACATGAAGCGTCCTCCTATACTATATTAGTCATGTTTCATCCGAGAGAAAGACAAGTTTTGATGTAAAATGTCTCACGCAGGTATGTTAATCCCAGCACAAATAAACTTTGGGGCAGAAAAAATTTGTAGATATACAGTCATAACCATAAGCAAGTTACAATATCTAAACTCTATGCTTGGAAAAATATGTACAATGCAGATGCTCCTGCGAGATTAAATAAATATCCATCCCGACATAATGAAATATTCAAATACACGGGAAACCCATCATTAAAAAAAAGAGAGAAAAAAGACAGAAAGAAGGAAACAGAAGAAAAATCCTGACCTCTAATTTGGCGGCAACGGCCATCTGTTGCTTGAGAAGGGCGTAGGTCTGGCTCCTTGATAGGAACGAAGAAGAGCTCAAAGGTGAATCTTTTGCCTTCTCAGAAGAAGAAGACGATGAATTGGGATTGGAATTAGGGTTTGAGGAGGAAGAAGAAGAACACGCAAGGATCCCAAGAGTCCTTCGACTACGATTCGGCCATGGCCATGGCCATGGAGAAGGCCTCTCAACTGCCGGCTTCAAACCCCCAACCATCTTTAACCCCAAAGCTTCCATCTTTTTCCCCTTCCCCCCTTCAGTTTGCTCCACTCCTTCCCTGGGTCCTTTTCCTTTCTTTTTTTTCCCCTGGAAAAATGAAGAAAATCTCCCTCACTGTTTCTCTTTGAGGTTCTCATTAACTCTCCCTAAATAACCCATTTAAAAATATATACAATTAAGGGGGGCAAAAATCATTTTCAGGAGAATCGTACTCTCACAGAGGCCACCCATGGCCCCGAGCCATAAAAAGATCGCTCCTTTCTTCGTCGTCCCTATGTTCCGCCTACTCATTTACCACAACGCCCCTCTTCCCTCACCTCAGATTCTCCGAACCAGTACGGCAAAGAAATTATCAATTAATTTCACATTAACCCGCTGACCTTTGGGGTGTCTCGCAAAACCCCCCCTTGAAGTTTAACCTCTAATTGTCCCCAAGGACCCCAACAGAAAAGATGCTGGCCTTATGAGACACAAAGTTTAGAGGAGTCGTGTGAGATAAACAAAATTTAGGAGGGTTATGTGAATAGTGCCCAAAGTTTAGTGGGTTTTGTTAAATTAATCATAAACTAATTTTAAAGGGTAAATATAGCAACTAAATACCCTATTGTTTCACCCTGTTTGTTACCGGCTTAGTTTTCTATGGGAAGAAGCGTTGCACACTTCACAAAATGCTGGCTAAGATATACAACTTGGTTAGTTAAATATGATTGATATTCAAGTTTAGGATCGAGCGAGAACATTACTGGTTTGAGTGAGAAAGTAGTGTAGAAAATCTCCAATGTTGGAGCATATTTTTTCTGACATTTATTGTCCTATAAGAAATAAAATGTCAAAGAGAGCCTTTGGTGATGCTCTTCGCTTTGTCTTTGTTGATGATTTCTCCTGAAAAGTTTGTTCTTATCCTTCGAAGGTCAAAGATCAAGTGACTGATGTCTTTAAGCAACACTATGTCCGCGTGTAAAACATAGAACCAAAAAAAAAAAAAAAGTTGAAGTGTGTGCAATTTGATAATGACTTGAATACAGGCCACATTGTTGAGCATTGCAAAAGTGTGGGAATCTGTCATGAGAAAACAGTTCCAGATACCCCCGCAATATATGACGTAGTTGCAGAGTAATTAAATTGTATAACTGTGAAGAAATCAGCGCATGTTTCCATAACCACTGAAGAAATCTGTGGTGATGTAGTCTTGTTTGTAGCTGCTCCTGTGGGGTTGTCTGTTGCTGAGAGGGTTTTGTCAAGCAAAGGATGCGCCCTAAAAAAACCAAGGTATTTGAATGTATAGTATTTGAGTAAGTGGCTCGAATATAATTAGGGTGCCTAAAATAGGTGATACAACAATAACCACATGGCAAAGAGAGGATGAGTCAGAAGGCGTTGTACGTAGTAGTAATCATAGGAGGTGGACGTATATCTAGATGTTTTGGTTGTTTTTGTTACTATCAAAATTTTGAAAATATGCAGTCTATGGCTGCTGTTTGTTTCGTTTTAATGAGGAATAAGATGGGTTTTCTTCCATCATAGCCTAAGAGAAGCTCATGATCAGACGCTCTCTTGATCTCTTTACGGAAGCGGTTTGATGTTCTGATTGGGCGTAGTAAATACTGGTAAATATGCACTCCCAGACTTAAGGAATCGGCAAAGTACCTAATGGGGAATAGTCCATGTCCCTCCCATGACTAATAACAAGGAAATAAATCTATCCTTTCCATGCAAGTGAATTCTAAGGAATCAATAATTTCTATTTCCATTCATCAGCTAGCTAGCAAACTTGTTTCAAATTTAACTTACCTGCTACATTTTACCT